GTGAAGGACCGCTGGCTATGATAGCGATTTTTCTGTTTTATTTGGCAAAATGTACATTTGATTTGTCTTTATCTGACTGTGTTAAATATTATTCCCCCACTAAACGAAAAAAAGGCAGAATTTATTCTTAAATAGAGACTATTAATAACAGGAGGAGAAAAGCAGCTCCAGATGTGCCGAGCATGTGGTGATGTCACGAATATGCTTCTGTGCCAATTGACCCAGATTTATGCTGCCTGCTCCCGTTCTCTCCGAGTCCAGACTGTCCGTACTCGCGTTCTTATGAATTGAAAAACAGCCACTGATTTCAGACTCGACTTCACACTCTCCTCCTCCTCCTGTAGATTCGACCAATACAGTAAAATGCCAACCAACCAATGGGGCAGAAGTTGACCCTCTAAGACACACAACCTCCTCATTTGCATAATGAAGCAGAAATTTAGACAGAAATGTAAAAACCACAGGCAGAAATAAATAGCGTTGAAGAAATATATAGGGTAAAAAATTACAAAGGAAGAATAATACAGACAAAAATATTATATCATGCACATAAATAAATACTTTAAAAATAAATAATAAATAAATAAAGTTTAAAGATTATAAAGGACAATAAATAAATAAGGTAATTATTACAAAGATGAATAAATAAAGAAGCTAATTAAAAGAGATTCATACATTTATGTCTTGATGTATAATTTAATTTTTACCTACATTTATTTGTTTATTATATTTTGGGAGCAATTAATGGTATGCTTCTTTATTTATTGAGCATTTATTTATTTCTATATTTATTTTTAAATATGGCAGAGTTGGTCCTCCATAAAAGTACTCTGGTGTGATGAATGTTGATGACGGTTCCTATGCCAGCATCATTTATCAATACATTTCCAGTCAGGTCTGCTGTGGCAGTGTGATGCTTTAGGAAACTTTAAACACAGCCAATATTGTGGATATCACTTTAGCATGGACCACCGTGGGTGCACTCTAAAGATGTGTTGTATAATACATACTTTCTATATCATAATAAATATATCTTAGAAAACTTTCTCGATTTCATGATCTTATTGTGAACTATAATGCACTCCCCTCCCTCTTAACACAGGCTGGAAGAAAAGCAAAGAGTCCCTCTGCTAAGGAAGGACACTCAGGAACCGCAGGGATGACATCAGAGCTAGTGATGCTGCCTTTAGAGGAAGAATCCTCAGACTGCTGCGAGGACCTGGAGACGACATATGTTTCAGAAACGGACTTGGATATTACAGAGGTTGAAACTGTTCCTTACACCAGGCATTCACAGCATCCCGAGCCTGGAGAAGAGAGATCAGGATCCACACAGGGTGGCTGTGAACCCATGAAGGACAGTGTACCAGCTGAGAATGAAAGTGAGCAGCCAAAGACGGCTGAAGAGGAGGACGATGCCTTCCAGCTTGTGCGAGAAATATTTTTCACCTGACTGAAAATGATTTACAGAGTTTGTAGGGATTTTTACAACCACTTTAAGAGATTTCACAATATAGTCTGGACTGTTAAAAAACAACCATAAACTTGATCATCAGTGGAAATCAAATTACCCTGACATGAAACACTAAATGGTTCAATTCTGTGAAACAGGTGTGAGGTGGGGGAGGTTTACTTTCACGAGTCGGCCTTAAAGAAAACATTTAGTGTGAACAGTTTTGCTTCTGCACCTGTGCCCTCATTGTGTGGAACTAAAGGAAAACCAAGTCCTCATGGGTTTTAAATGAATCGTTTACTTTAATATCCCACTGAGTGACCTAGTTTGTTTTAGAAAATGCTAAACTCATTAATTAGCACTCATACTGTAGAACACCACTTGCAGTATTATAAGTCCACAGCTCATAAACTACTGTACATGAAAGGAGTAATATAAGGTGTTTTTTGCTTTTATTTGTATTAAGAAATTGTTTGCAAAGATAAACATCACAAAATAAAACTCTTATGTTGAGTTACAGAAGTAGGAAACAGTGATATAAGTTGAATTAAAGTGATGATAATATAAAAGTTATTTCCAAAACTGCTTTCCTATTTCCCATTCAGGAAGCTTTTTTAATTCTGGCGTAGAAAACATGCAAATAGAACCGGACTAACAGGTCTGTCCCTTAGGAATGGTCAGTCGTTTCTAAGCCAAAACAAGGCTTTGTCTTAGTCCATGCTATAAAGCCTCGAATTCAACGCTAATTCTGACATTTTTAAGTGAAAAAAGCTTCCTGGATGGGAAGCGAAACGTCTTCAAACTTGAAAACAAAGTCCAGTGTTTTTGTTTTTTTTTACTTTTTTGGAATGACTATGACCTGGATGACTGAGAATCTTCACTAGCACATGCTAAACAGTGATAATTTGTGGATGGTAAAAAACGGTCAAAGTGAAACCCTTTAAGCTACATCTGTTTGCTTATCACACAATGGAGCATATGATATTTTTTCTTTCTATTATAACCTCATACAGCAAACTGAAAAAGCCTTGCAGCGTAGGCATTTACCTTAGTGGCACTAGCTGTAAGAAGTCTTACATCTACTATCATAAATTGCAGCAACCTAAAAATGTCTGGCTGCAGCTTAATGACAGTGGAGCTACAGATTCTTCTTTTTTCATAAACAAAGTCACATTCATATTTTTCAGCATAACCTTCATGGAAATGTTGCTTTTTCAACTCATATCTTCATCTTATCATCTTTTAAAAAAGATATTATGTCCACATGTCAATTTAATCGATACAACAGTAAATGCAAAAACTCAAAGGGATTTCATCACTTACATCAATGGACAAATAAAAAAGAATTTGAAGGATGATGCAGTCTGAAGTTACTTATTTCCAGTCAGATGTCAGCTTTCTTCCCAAAATCCATGTAAGCACAGTTGTTAGAATTAGCATTGCTTCCACACCCAGACACAAATAAAACCACACTGTCATGTTTTCCAAACTCACGTAGGAGCGAAACCTTATCAAAAACACAATGATGCCTCCCAGAATGAGGAGGCAGGAAGCAGCCTGGAGGGCCAGGCTGCACCAGAGTGTCCCTCTGTCTTTACCATAAGCAGAGAAGAGCAAGCTCAGCAGTGCAAATGCAACCAGTGCAATCGGAACATAAAAACACAGGGGCATCATGGCATAGATGATGGTCCTCCAACTAAAGGAATGTGGGTAGAAATCCCTTTCCTGTTGATCACACAGTGGTTCATCATCTTGACTGTACAGACAGAAAAATGCAGGACCAAAGCGAACTTCTTTGGAGTTGATGAAAACGCCAGCGAAATGCAGCAGCAGGATTTGAAGGAGGATGAGGAGCAGCAGCACACAGATCCCAGACCAGTATAACCGTAGTCTCCTGTTTGAGGGAGCGGCCATGGGGAAGAGCTCTGCACTCTGGATCTACACATTTAAGATAAATAGAGATAAAAACCACAGACAATAATAAGGCACCACTGCAGCTCATAAAATACTTAACTGGGTAATCTGAAATTAACCCACACTGAATGGTGAACCAAATAAAAAATATTATTATAAAAGAATTGTTTAAGGAGCACAGGATATGTAAACAAAAAATTATAAAAAATAGTGAGATTTTCTTACCGATATTATGGCAACATTGTAAGATTTAATACCCCTTCAACTGTAAACATAGTCATATTTAATTGTTCAGTATAAGATATGCGAACACAGAGGCACAAATATGAAAACAAGAAGAAAATCTCCCAGAAAAGCAGCAGGTTGACTTAAGGATTTAATCCAAGAAATATACATAACAACAAACAAACCAACTCCCACAAAATGTAGGTAACTGTATCACGATGCAGGGACACAAAGGTCTGGAAAGCTAAGGAAACTATTTGAACCTATCTGATTGGACTGGAGCTCTTTTTTGAAGAATAACATGAAAACATTTTTTATAGCACAGAGGTTAAGGAAATATACCAAGAAGGACTTGGAGAGGAAATTTGAGCAAAATGTGTTCTAAGAAACAGCACACACTTTTCAGTTCTTCCTTTTTTTATTTGGGAAAATCTTACTTAATTAACACTATACTGTACAAGTGTGCAATGACAAGTTTGTGGCTGAAACTGCAAATAAGTTAAAAAGCACTTCCTCCATACTTTAAAGGTAGAGTGGAGGATTTTCTTATATATA